TCCTACTTCCGTAGTGATACTGCCTCGGAAACCCAAGGAGGGGTCGCTATGAGTCGGGGCCGACTCAATGGCACATAACAACAACAACAACGAGTTGGACTACTTTCAATGAAAACCAATTACTTTTTTTCCTTATGCAATTAGGAACTGAGTCCATTCCCTCCACCACAACAGAAACATCTTTCTGGGCCTATGTCCACAAACGAGGATAAAGGGCACTCTGTGGCGAGAGCAGAGGTCTAGACTCCCAGGTTAACTCCCCTGTTAACAGTCACATGATCACGAACATTCCATTTCATCTAGGCCTTACTTCAAGGACTCATGTCTGGCCCTAAAGATAAGGCACCACCCACCTGAATGAATGTGGTGGCCCTGCTGTCTCCTTATGCCTACCAGGGAAATAGAAACCAAGTGGCTAGCTACTGTTCAAAAGGTGGTAGTGAGGACTGAATGAAATCAGTGCAGATTAAAGCACTCCACACACTGCCTGGCGCATACTAGTAGAGCATGAAGGTTAATAGTCATTATCAGTAAACCTTTACAAGGACTATAATTATGTGCTAGGCATGGAATTATTGTATGTTATTAGGTGCCGTCGAGTTGTCTCTGACTCATAGCGATTCTCTGTACAGCAGAACAAAACACTGCCCGGTCCTGTGCCAGCTCCACAATCCTTGCTGTACCTGAGCCCATCATTATAGCCACTGTGTCTATCCATTGTGCTGAGGGCCTTCCTCTTTTCATCGACTCTCCACCCTACCAAGCATGACATCCTTCTCCAGGGAATGATCCCTTCTGACAACACGACCAAAGTAGGTGAGACAAAGTCTGGCCATTCTCGCTTCCAAGAAACATTCCAAGGCATGGAATTAAGAGGGGTAATATGTATTTTCTAAGACTACAAAAGTACTAAAATATTTTTCTAAACCAAATACACAGTGGTTTAAGTCCCAGGTTTTAACCAAAACCCAAAACTGGTCTGCCAATATTGTTGTTGGGTGTCTCTGAGTCCACTGCGACTCTAAGCAACCCATGAGACAGAACAGAGCCACCCCGTAGAATTTTCTAGGCTGTAATCTGTATGGAAGAAGACTGCCAGGTCTGTGTCCTGTGAGCCACTGAATGGGTTCGAACCTTCAATTTTTTAGTTAGTAGCCAAGTATTTATCTGCTGTGCTACTAGGGCTTTCACCAATATTACCCTTGTTAAATATAAGCATCTGATTGTTACATTAGTTAAAATTATCTTTAACTAAGTAAATATGGCATTATATAGTATTTGCTATATAATACTACATAATGCCATATTTAATCAGTATTTAGGAGTTCTGGTGGCATAGTGTCTAAGGCATTTGACTGCTAACCAGAAGGCTGACGGTTCAAACCCACCAGCCACTTCTCGGAAGGAAGGTTGGGCAGTCTACTTCTATAATGATACCGCCTCGGAAACCCAAGGAGGGGTGGTCCCTGTGAGTCAGCTCTGACTCGATGGCAGTGAGTTTTTTTTTTTTTAAATAGTAGTTATGAAATAGAAAAGACTTGTAACTTCAAATCTACAACTAGAAATGTTGTTATTTCCTTCCAGTCTTTTTCAAATGAATTTTCACATAACTGAATTCTAAAATACATAAAAATAAATTTTTTGTATCCTCTTTTTAAGTTATATTTCATCATTAGCATTTTCCATGTTGTTAAACTAGTCTTAACGACCACTGTTCAGGGAAGAAAAATATTCTGTACTGTAGTTTACTTTTATTTCCCCTGTTATTAGACATTTAGGCTATTTCCAAAGATTTAAATAACACATTACAATAAAGATCCTTGTGCATATCTAAGTTATCTGTAGGTCACTATGAGTTGGAGTTGACTCAACGGCACCTAACAAGAACAACAACCTTTTTAAACCATTGTTGTTGTTGTTAGCTATCAGTGAATCAGTTCTAACTCACAGTGACCCCACGTACATCAGACCACAGCACGGCCTGGTCCTGCACCATCCTCACAATCGTCGCTATGTTTGAGCCCATTGTTGCAGCCACTGCGTCTATCCATCTCGTTGAGGGTCTTTCTCCTTTGCACTAACCCTCTACTTTTCCAAGCATGATGACCAAAGTACAAGAGACGAAATCTGGCCATTCTTGCTTCTAAAGAGAATTCTGGCTGTATCCTCCAAGACAGATTTGTTTGTTCTTCTGGCAGTCCATGGTACATTCAATATTCTTCACCAACAGCACAATTCAAATCCATCAGTTCTTCAGTGGTCTTCCTTATTCACTGTCCAGCTTTTGTATGCATATGAGGCAACTGAAAATATCATGGCCTGGGTCAGGTGCACCTTACTTCTCAAAGTGACCTTTTGCTTTTTAACACGTATGGAGGTCTTCTGCAGTATATTTGTCCAATGTAATATACACTGTGTGATTTTTTGACTGCTGCTTCCACTGGCGATGACTGTGATCCAAGTAAAATGAAATCCTCGCAACTTCATTGTTTGTAATACATATTTCCTAAAAGCACACTTGGAACTACTTCTCAAGAGTAGCATCTGAAAGTGGAGTGATTGAAACATGAATATTTTGATGGCTCTCGAGGACTTACACCTGCTGCTCCTCTGGACTGCTTCAATCAACAATGCTGTACTTTGCTCTGGGATAGTGGGTATTATTTTAAAAATTATTGGCGTAAAAAGTGAAAGAACTGTAACTTACTCTCTTATTTTGCTTTTTCTTGGTATGATTATTAGTGAGACTAAACATTTTTCAAATCAGAGATTCCATAAATATTTAATTGTTTTCCTCTAGTTTTTCCATGCTTCAATTTAATATTTAATTCTTCAATCTAGCAGGGATTAATTTTCTGTGCAAGTGAAATGAGGGTTGAACTTTAAGCGAACTCCTCCCTCTCCTGCTAATCAGGTATTCTAGCTCCACGACGATTTGTTCTAGCTCCTTTAGTATACATTTGATTCTTACATTCATTAGGATTTCCCCCAACACAATTGTGTCTTGTCTGTTATGCTAGCATCATGATTTAAACATTCATAAAGCTTTAAAATATATTTTATAGCCTAGAAGATTTAGTTATTCCCTCCTTCATTATATCCTTTTTAAACTCAAAAAATTCTTATCACTTTATTTTTCAAGACGACTTTTATGTTTCTCTATCTTTTAAAAATCTGTGATGGTATTTATAAGAACTACATTATATTTATAAACCAACTTTGAAGAATATTGATTTTTTTCCCATCCATTAATTTGAGTAATTCTATTAATTAAAAAGAATTATTATTATTTTTTATTACAGAAGTAATGTGATGAGCTCCATTAATTTTTAACTGGGTATGAAACAAAACCCTAAGATTCATTTATTCCTTTAACCCTGCTCTCCCTCCTGTTCTCACTGATGTCCTGCTGTTCTTGAAGAGTCTCCAAAGGCAATTTATACTTTTTACTTTTTTATTTTATTTTTTATTATGATTTGGGTGAAAATTTACAAAGCAAACTCATTTTCCATATAGCAGTTCATACACATTTTGTCTCATGACAATGATACAATTCCCCATAATATAACAGCTCTCTTCCCACTTCCTCCCCATAGTTATCCCTTCCCTGTGTCCTTCCCTCCCATGCATTCCTGTCCCCTGAGCTGTCTTCCTGTGAAACACCACTGCTCTTCTGTTCTCCCATGACTGATTGCTCCAAGGAGTGTATCTACCTGATGTAACTGTTTATCCCATATGCCTGTATACAGTTTGGTTGGAAGCCACAGGAGTGAGTTCAGTTCTAGACCCGAAGGGTAGTTAGGGGCTACAGTCTCAGGGATTTCACCAGGCTCTATCAGACCACCAAATCTGGTCTCTTTTTTTTTTTCTTAATGATTTTGAGTTTTGTTCCACATTGTTCTCTCACTCTATCCAGGATCTCCTGCACTGATCCCCCTCTAAGTAGTTGACAGTGGTAGCCAGGCACCATCTAGTTCTTTTGGTCTCATGGTCATATAGACTAAGGATCGCATGATTCACTAGTCCCTTGGACTAATTGTTTCCATGCTTCTTTGGTTTTCCTTCATTCTTCTTTGGTCTGGATGAGGAGAGACCCATTGTTGCATCTAGATGGCCACATGCAGGTTTTTAAGATCCCAGTGGCTACTCACCAAGTTGGATGTAGAACAATGTTTTTGTATAGTATGTTACACCAGTTGAGCTTGATGTCCCTGTGACCATGGTCCTGAGCCCACAGGTCCAACTACTCACTCCCTCTGGGTAGCTGGCTGTAGCCCAAGAAGTGACTACAACTTTGTCCCTTGTCAGCTCTACTATACACCTGGACATTCTTACAGCACATATAAATATGCTTGTAGAAACATTGCTGGCTAACCCTGTATGTGATCATGGGTACACTACCCCCTACCTGGTCATATCTGATCATTCTGCCTGTCCACCCATCTATCCACCTGCAGATCAATGCTTGCCATCACTGATGATGCAGTACTGCACGTGCAAAAAGGTTCATCTTGGTTGTCTGTACCTTCCATTTCCTCTCTATGTCTTCCTCTTCCTCATTGCAACTGGGCTGATCACTCACATACCTTTTACTTTTTTGAAGAAAGAACTACTTGGTCTATACTCAAAAAATGACTGAACTAACTAACTCCCCTGGCAGCTATGCTTCTGCAAAAGTAAGACCAATGTCCCCCATGAACTTTTGTTCACCAGACATTTGTTTGTTGCACAGAGACTCAGGCACAATATTGAACCAAATGGACATCTGTCCCTGCTCTCCTGGAACTCAGTTTCCCAGTACTCTATTTGTAGTAAAATTATCTACAATGATTATAAAACAAGTAAAGCTTATACATTTGAGAGCATTTTTCTTTTCAAGAAAGGGATACATGAAGTAAGATACACTTACTGCATCACTTAGGACTTCACTGTTTACAGGCAAAATGTGTTCAATTCGCACAAAAGGAAAGAGAGAAGAGAGGACCTCTCTAAGCTCTTCAGCGTCCAGGTCCCGTCTTTTTACGCCTCTTTTGTTTACACTGTGAGCGGTGCCACTCAGTAAGTTTGGCTCTACAAGGCAGAAAATGATATTTTCCAACCAAATCCAAAGTTCAGTTCTGTATACTCTTGGTAACATTCTAGTATACTTAAGTACATATGCATTGTTATAAATAAACAACTTTTATGTCATAAGAAGTCTATTTAATAGAGATGTTCCTGGACAAAGAAAAAGCATGGTGTCAACAGCACAGTAACATTTTTTTAATCAGAGTAACATTTTCTTCTGCCTGAAGGGATAAAGATACTTCTCTGTTTACTAACTCATGAGGAGCAAAGATGACAATTTATTAAAATCTCCTTTAATCTGGGGTTTTTCTTAAGCTTTCTCACTTTTGTGGCCAGTTTTTAGCACATTCATGGCATCACAGAACATGCTATTTCTGGTCACTGAAGGTTATCAATATTCTCATTAGGCTACCATGTTACCATAACAGCAATTTAACAAGACATTAATCACTTGGTGCCCAAAGCAGCAAAACCTATTATGCGCTGTATTAAGCCCTAAAATTTTATGATCCTCTCCTAAACTTCTATACTATGGGAATGTTACTACCTAACAGTGAACCGCTGATCTCTGATATGTAATATATTTCTATTTTCCGGAGCAGAAAATAAAGGTTTTCTTTATTGGATATTAATGAAAGAAGATGTCAAGTACATATATGCTTACGATATTAAAGTGGGAAGGAAAATCACATAAATTTTAGAAATCATTAATCATATCTTTACTCTAGGAGGCTGTAGCTTTTCTCCTTAAGAAAATTACCACTGAATAACAACTTTTATCATTCATGAATGTAAATGCTGCATTTTTGGCAAACACTCTACAGGCAAACTAGTAATTCTCTTCAATCACATGCTACATAAATGTAGAAAGAGATACTGTTTTTGAGCAATGAAGTTATTTTTCAAAATAAAAGTGCTGCAAGTGTGTGGAAAGGCATTGTTTTCTTGCCTTACTATGATTTGGCTTTGTGCTTACATGTTATAAAGTATTACTTACCAAAAAAAATTTCTTTTTTTCTTAAACTAGTGGAGCTCCGTTTTCAAATGAGACCTTACACGGAACTCCCAAAGCTGTAACAGGTAAGAACTCCACACGCCAGGGCACGTGAAGCTGAGCTGCAGCCTGGTTTGCTCTGCTCCCTTTCACTTCTGCACAAGAGGCCTGCATTTACCCTAGTCTGAACGTTACTGTTTTCAGGGGAATTTTTTCAAGAATGTTCACTATATGCCCCAAATAAATACAACAGTTAATCACTACCAACCTTACATCAATAAATAAGCCTATAATGATTATGTAGTATTACATATATTGGCATTTCAAAAACTTTTCAAATTAATTAGTATTTTTTATATGAAAAAAAATTCAAATCTGAGTAGTACTAAAGGCTTTTGCAGGTCGCAGGAACATAAATCAGGTGAAATAAAAGAGAAGTGCCTTTGTTCCCTAGTGGTTGGGTCATAATGTATCAAAGAGACACCATGAAAAGGGTCTAAGGCAGACCTAACCTGATATTTCATTATATTTAGAAATGTGACAGGACGACTACGGGAACGTACTAAAAAGCATTGACTTGAACACTAAACAGGTGAAGTTTATGGTGTGTAAGCTATACCTTAACAGAGCTATGAAAAATGACAAGGGAAATCTCTAATTTGTCTAATTTTTTTTTTTAGTTTACATATAATATATAGGAACATAAGATTCCATGAAGAAGAAGGAGAGGTGAGTGGCCTAAGCTGGACATAAACAGAAGGCTGCTGGAGAGCCAGGAGCTCCCCAAGCTGAAGGCCCACCCTCCCACATTGGATGCTTCCAACTCCATCTCGAGACAGAAGTCATTCTGAAGTATTACTCCTCCTTGACCTTTCACAGCAGTTTAAAGTAAATCATGTGCTGTTTTTGATATTCATATTTTTTGGGAAAAATTCATATAACATAAAATTCACCATTCTAACCATTTATAAATGTGTAATTCAGTGGCTTTAAGTCCATATATTCACAAGATTGTGCAACCATTACCACTCTGTAATTCCAGAACATTTTCATCAACAATATGCTTTTATAACACTTTAATCCTTACATGAAAGATTTTATTCCAATATATCTGAGAATCAATCGACATTTATTTTAAGCACACAGAAGCATTACAGAATGTATCCTTTTTTTAAAGTTGCAAAATAAAATTTTCCAATACACAAATTTCTAACAAACCACATTATCTCCACTACAGGATTTTACTAATTACAGAAATTTCTTATTTGCACCAGGCAATCATGTCTATTTTCAAGAATGATATGCAACATGCATTTCTGGAAGCTTCTGGGAAAGGAAGCCCCACCAAACACAGCGTCAGTGGACCTTCTGAGCTTACCTCTGTCTGCAATTCTTCTCATCAATTGATGCTCTCCCCATTTAATCAGATATTTAAGGATATCTTGCTCACTTGCCTATAATGAAAATGATTTTTTTTAGTAAAATTATATACATAATGTCATTAATGATTTTTCCTAACTCATGACATAAATACATGCAACTTAACCACGTTTTACTATTGACATCAGCTATTTGCAATTTTAGATGTCAATCTATAATCCATCAATAGCAAATACACAAGACCTCATCACATGTGTTTTATCCACTAATCTTGCTTTTGGTTCCAATTAAACTTTTATTCTTATTTCTATTTTATTTTTTATCTTGCTCTCTCCACCCATTTTAAATTTATTTTTGGAACAAGCTAGTGATAAAGAAATGAAAGTGAAAGTACAGGAATACAGAGCGACTATGATTTCCCACAAGGACAGAAAAGACAAGTATGGCGACTTAAGCGTATCTGGCTATCTGGTTTTGTCAGAAGGTATTCTACTGATTGGCAAGGACTCTTCAAACACAGTCTGAGAGATAGCAATGTACTCTTCATTTGTCTGTTGTTTATTTAAAAGCAGCAAGGGGCTGCGTGCCAGGTTTTTCACTTTCAAAGCAGAGGTGCAAAGCTCCTAAAGACAATAGTCTAAGAGAATGACAAACCCTAACCCCCATAACCACAATGCACTCAGCTTGGGTCAGGACAGGGGAACCAAGTTAATGAACAAAAGATTCTAAACAAATCAAACCCAGTTATGACAACAGGTGTACTATAATCAAAGTAATGCAAGAAGGAAAAGCACAGATGATAGGTAAATTATTTAACCTGTAACTGAATTCCTGACTGAGATAGCAGTGTTTTCTAGGAAAAAAAAAAAACAAACCAGGAAATAAGAACATGCTCAACAGGTTTGTCTTCATAGTATTAAAACTTCTGTATAATTTTCAGCATAAAATTGGTCTCGCCAATGCAAACAATTTAAACTGAAACACTCTACCTAAAAATATTTTTTGTAATATTTTAAAACTATTTTTAGTTTAAATCACCAAATCAGATTGACACAGAATACAAAGACACAAGAATGAGCTAAAAATGACTCTTGATTAAAAACAGCTGGAAATGTACTTTGGCAAAGCACATACATTAACTAACTTTTTAATTAACATTTAATTAACATTGCGTATCAAAAATTGCTAATATTCTTAGTCTGTGCTGTTTAACCACCAGCCACTTTGCAGAAGGAAGATGGGGCAATCTACTTCTGTAATGATTTACTGCCTCGAAAACCCAAAGTGGGTTGTTATGAGTCGGAACTTTGACTCGATGGCAGTGAGTTTGATTTTTTTTTTTTTTTTTTTTGGGTGCTGCTTAAGATACTGTCTGCAATCTAAGTGTCTGATATGCCACTTAAAAGAAGAGAAACAGTGATACTCAATCTACATTAATGGAAGCCAAGAAAATCCCTGTGTGGATGTGCTTCTGATCTTGCCTGCTGCCTCAGCCCGGTAGGTGTGGCTGCCTAGGACCTGCGCTCATGCACAATGATCACCTGTGGTGTGCGTGGAGGGCCAGTGAGCACAAAGCTGCACAGTCCAAAGGGGGCACTTTTGGGTGGGCTGATCACAGCCTGCTTCTCTGCCCCTACCCTTCCCTAGATGGAAGGACAACAGGGTACAGATGGATTTCTTGGTGCACATATGAGTGGCAATGAATTTGAGAGGTGTATAAATGATTACCTGTAGGTAGTCAGACTGGATAGCAGTAAGCAGATGGTCTTTGCTGAGTTCATAAAAAACATCCGAAGTCATGACCTGGGAAAAGTCCTCACAGAGGAAATGTAAAGCTTGCCGGTACACCCATTTAGAGCCATATGGATGAGAGCTCCACTTGAGGATGGCAATTAAGGTATCTAATGAGATGCTCTCAGCAATGATATCCTCACAGCCTAAAAGAGAAGCAAATACTTCTTGAGATTAATCATGAATATTATTTATGAACACCATTGTGCTAGGGCACTATATTTAAAAGTAGTAGCAACAGTTAAAAAGAACTCAGGGAGATAAATAAAATTGCAGGGATATCACCAAGACTTGGTGGGAAGGGTAACAACAGACTGTGACATCAGTGGGAGATGTGCCGCTCTACAGACAGGCAGGGGAACCTCACAACTGTTCAAGAAAATAAACATCTATGTGTAAATCCAAAATTGTGAATTAAGACAGGGCAGTAAGGAGCACTGGGCCAAAGAGGGAAGCCAAGCAGGGAGCCATGTTACAGTCAGGGGAGGTGGCCCCTCAGAGGAAGGACATGGTGACACTGGACTGATGAGTGAATGCAACCTAGAGGACAGCTGGGCTGCCAACTATGACGACACTGCTCTAAATGCCATCCTAGTAAAAACGTAACATCTCGCACTGTTGATATCTCAATCCCTCAGAAAACAGACAAAGTAGTTTAGTATTATGCTCATTTTGGGCTTAATTCTGGCAAGCTAAAAGAAGTAAGTGGTTTAAAAGAAAAGGACCAGGATCTTGGAGAAAGTGACTATGGCATCTTAAGAGTACAAAAAAGAGAAGACGACAATCTGAGGATAGCTTTTCTCCTTAGAAAAGATCATTTCAGAATATAAAGATAAATATAAGTAAAATCTCAGGGATGAGACTGTGGAAGGGGAATGGTGACCATTGGACAGAAATTCTTTTAACTAAGTTTACTATAAAATGAAAGCAATGCTGACAATGTAAGAAAAGAGGAGGCATGTAAATGACGTCAATGGCAACAAAAATGTGGCTAGAGGCTGCCCTCCAATGAGCCCAGAGCTTTAAAAGATGCAGCCAAAGGAAGGGCATCAATGACCTCCAGAGACTTCCAGAGCTCAAAGCGAATGAGAGACCACAAAAGGCGAGAAGAGAAGGGGGGTGGTGAATCCCGTCCTCAGGTGACACAAGACTGACAGGAGCCAATATGGAACCTAAATAAGTAATGCTTCATTCACTTTTCTGATACGGTTCTGTACCAGGGAAATATGAGAGATCATCATGTAACTTGATCTCAGCAAAGCATTTAACAGTATCTTTCATGATGTCGCCAGATGATTAGCCTCACAAAGACCGAGACCACTGTCTTTGTTGTGTCGCCAGCACCTATCTGGCACACAGTAAATGCTAAATAAGTATCTGCTGCATGTATGAAGGAGACATGAACTGAATGACAGAACGGCGGTCAACCGAACCATTCAGAAGTAGCATTGACTAGCCTGGAGGTATAGGGGGGGTGTCTCTGTTTTGCTAATTTGGATAAAGATGGAAAAGTATGCTTCAAAATCTCCAGCAGATCCACAGCTGAGAAACACAGTTAACACCACACTGAGTAGCAGAATCTTAATGAGGCAAAATGAAGATAAAATCTGAGTAGGAAAACTATAAAATTCTACATTTAGATTAAAGAAAATCAACTACAGAATAGATGATGAAGTAGAGCTAGTTTAAGTACCACCTATATAATAGAATCTGCCACTCCTCAGAAGGAAGGTTGGGCAATCTACTTCCGCAGTGATACCGCCTTGGAAACCCAAGGAAGGGTCACTACGGGTCGGGTCCGACTCAATGGCAGTGAGTTTGGTTTTTGTATATAATAGAATCTGAGTATTTTAACTGAATGAACACAAAATGTGACAAGGGTGATGCTGCTATTCTGCTCTGCCGCGGGCACTGTGTGCTGTGGTGAGCCCTGGGTTTAGATGGGACACTAACGAAATGGCAGAATGCTCAGAGGAGAGCAGAGCTTGAGACTTGCCACAGAAGAACAGCTCCAAAGACTATGTGGCTCAGGTAAGAGAAACCTGAGGAGAGCTGACTTGAAGGGTCTGATGGACCTTCAGGAGGCAGAGGAGAGAGAAAAGCTGACTTCACTGTTATCTCAAGGGCAAGTCTCAGGAAACAAATGGATGCTAACAGAAGGGAGATTCTGCCTTGATATTAGGACATTCCTAACAGTTAGACTTGTTTCCCTCTTGTTCCCTGAAATGAAGGATCCTTCTAGAAACGTGTAGGAGCAGAGGCTGGCTCACCAAATTCTGAACAGAGCACAAAGAACTTTTCCACTGGATGGAGAGCTAAGGTCAGATGTTCTCCAAGCTGTTTTCATCGCAAAGATAACATTATTTTTCGAAAGCCTGTATCAGAGCTCTGGTGGTGTAGTGCCCTAAGGCATGTGACTGCTAACCAGAAGGCTGGTGGTTCAAACCCACCAGCCACTCCTTGGAAGGAAGAATGAGCAGTCTACTTCCAGTGATACCACCTGGAAACCCAAGGAGGGGTTGCTGTGAGTCAGATGACTGGACAGCAGGGAGTATCAGAGTGAAAATAAGATTAGTGTATTTAGTCTAAACACTGAGATCCTTACAAGGTACCCTGAGACCACCGCAAGAAAATCTGCATGTAGATGACCCCAAGGCATGAACATGTACTAATGAGAAGTGGGACATGTGGAAAGTTTCTGAATAGTTTTTGTGATTCTGTGGTGAGCAAAGCTGAGGATAGACCTCATCTGGTAGCCAGTGGAGGACTTCCGTTGGTTTGTTGTTAAAGCAGACATTGACACAGGGCTGAGTGGGATGGGTCCACCTGATAGGAAAGCCAATCCGATAGAAGTGTTTGGGCCAGAAGCAGGGAAATCAGAGAAAAGGATGTGTTACAATCTTACTAAACCAGGATACTGGCAGAGGTGAAGAAAGAATCAAAAGTAGCATGGATATTTAAACTGAAGTTTATAAAAAATCAGGATATGGAAGGAGAGAAAGAGCTTTCAAATGATACAGATCAGACTTGAAGTCTCAGCTCTGGCAGTTAGTAGCAAAGTCACTTTGAGCAAACTGCTTGACTTTTTTGAGCCTGGAATTTCATCATCTGTGAAAATTCAGATTTTATTTCCCATCTGACAGGGCTGTTTTGAGACTGAAATGAAGGCAGTGTCCTTGACACTCTTCATCGTCCACACCTTCTGGGGTACCCATGTGCCAAGCTTTATCTTTTTACTGAACAACTTCCCCAGTAATGTCATTCATCTCCACGGCCTGAATACCCACCGCACTCCTCTCACTGAAGTCCGAACCCAGATCACTCTCCTGACTCAGACTTACTCCTTACCCCATTCAACAGCTCACAGGGATATTCGCTATCTAAAACGCACAAGTCTACTTGCTATCTTTGGGATGTCTAGTCCTCCCCTTCTTAATCCATGCTTTAGAGAGGGACAGCCTGTCTACACAGGCACCGAAGCTAAAGTACGAGCATTAATTCCTTCTCCCAAACATAGCCCATCTACGGTCAAATGCTGTTCCTTCTATTGTTAAATCCACCCCTTCCTTGGATCTTCACTCTGCCACCTGTTTCAGAATCTGACACTCTCCCTGCACTACTGCAATAACCTAAAAGAATTCCTATCCCCAGTCGTCCTTCCTTTCAATCCCTTCTCCATACTGCTGCCAGAATGAGCTTTTAAAACAGAAATCAGATTATGTGTTTATTTCTCTGTAACAAATTAGTCAATAGTTTCCAAATGACTTCAAGATAAATCATAACTAAATATCCTTTCATAATCTGGCCCCTGCTTCCTTCTCCAGCCTCACCCCTGCTCCTCTTCTATCTGCTCAGCCATATATATCACGTTCCCTACAAATGCCTAACAGCCCACCAAACTCTCTCACCCACAGGTCTTTGCATCTGTTACTCCATTTTCCCGAACTACTCTTAACTCCTCCAAATCCTTTGAGACTCAGATTAGACGTCGCCCCCTTTGAAAAGCCTACCTTGGTCTGCTCCCCAAAGCCGAGGTCAAACGCTCCTTATCAATGCTTTCAGGGTCCCTATATTTCTCTCTATAATAAACCAAAAACCCAAAACCAAACTCACTGCCGTGAGTCAACTGTAACTCATAGTGACCCCTCCTTGGGTTTCCGAGGCAGTATCTCTATGGAAGTAGATTGCCCAGTCTTCCTTCTGAGAAGTGGCTGGTGGGCTTGAACTGCCAGCCTTCTGGTTAGCAGTCAAGTACCTCAGGTACTATGCAACCAGAGCTCCTCTATAATAGCAGTGAACTTTCACAAGACTGTATCTTTCTTATGTGTTTGTCTGACTCCTCCACTAGACTAAGAGCTCTTTTAGGGTAGAGGGCCCACCTTATCTCTGATTCTACACTGTCTGACATGTAGTTGTTGTTGTTGTTAAGTGCCGTCGAGTCAGCGACCCCATGCACAGCAGAACGAAACACTGCCCGATCCTGCGTCAGCCCCACAATCCCTGCTGTACTTGGGCCCATCATTGCAGCCACCATATCAATCCATCTCGTTGAAGGCCTCCCCCTCTTTCGTCGACCCTCCACCCTACCAAACATGACATCCTTCTCCAGGGAATGGTCCCTTCTTACAACATGACCAAAGTAGGTGAGACGAAGTCTGGCCATTCTTGCTTCCAAGGAGCATTCTGGCTGCACTTCCTCCAGGACAGATCTGTTCTTTTAGCAGACATGTAGTAGGTAACCAAATAAAAACATAATGATAAAGCTAGAACATTTATTGAAAGGTGCTGTATGAAGCTCTGCACTATATACTTGATTTAAAATACTAATTTTTCACAATACCTCACAGAACACATTATAATCATTATTCCCATTTTACAGATGAGGAAACAGAGACTCAAAGATTAGATAACTTGCCCAAGATCATACAGCTGGGAAGAGAAGTCATGCTTAATTAAACACACCCTTTTCTTCTTGCACCCTTTTCTTCTCTCCTAAAATCTCCGCCCCCCTGACTTAGAATTTCTTCACTTAAAACCATTTCTCTCATGAACAGTAAAACACCTTAAAAATACACTATACATGATGATGTTGACTCACAAAAGTCAAAGGAAAACAATTCACAGAACAAAACAAAGCAAAACACTG